ATCTATTCGATCTAGTCGAACATATATATTATATATATATTCATCTATTCGGTCTAGCCGAACGATTTCATTTATGTAATTCTCAGTGTGAATTTAACAATGCACCTTGGTTATGTTATTTTAGTTAACTCAATAATTTACAATATAAATTTAGTTCTAGATACGTATTATGTGCTCGATAAACTCTTGTTCTTCTTCTGGTGATATCATCGATGTTACACAAGAAACTTGTTCAGATTCTCGCAATATTGATCATACGTTATCAAATACTTCTCAAATGTCCTGTAAAAGGATTTATAATTTACTCGTGCGTAAAGATGAAACTCTAACAATAATCGAAAATACGAAGAAACATACTGCAAGTTGCTGGAGTCAATTTGGATTTCCAGCTATTGTTGATAATAAAGGCGTCGTGGTGACAAAATTAGACAACTTTGTTTCATGTAAAAATTGCTACGTCACATATTCTCATAATAACAATAGTACCTCACAAATGAACAAGCATAGTTGTGGAAGTTCACCAATTAGATCTTCAAAAACATCTGATACAATATCCTCATCGCCTTTCAAACAAAAAAAAATTTTTTCTTTCACTTGTAATCGTCCAGGATCGATTAAACTAAACGAAGAAGAACGTAAAAAGGTAAAAAATCTTCTTACAGAATGGGTCTGTATGGATATCAGACCATTCTCGATTGTCAATGATCGTGGACTTAAATCTTTCGTTCAAGAATGTATTTCTTTGGGTATTTCATAACATTTTCACAAATATTCCTTTTTTTATTTTATTTTTTTTGTTCATAGGGGCAAAGTATGGAAATATTCATGTTGACGATATATTATTTGGTGCTGATACTATTTCATCTCACGTCGAAATATTAGCTAATCAATATCGATCTGAGATTCGACAAAAACTAATTGAACCTTTATCACAACATGCTATAACAATATGTCCCGACATGTGGTGTGATTCTTATCTACAAGTTTCATATTTGGGTATTAGTGTGTGTTTTACAGATGAAAATTATCAATTTTTAACATATGATCTTTGTTGTCATCCTTATAGTGAAGAAGATAAAAGTGCTGAAAACATTATTATTGTAAGCTCTAAATTTGATGATCCAGACTGTTTTACTTTTTTCTTCTAGGCATTAAAAAAAGCACTGGAACCTTTTGGTATTGCTGATTTATCCCAATTGAACTTTGTTAGTGATAGAGGCTCTAATTTTATAAAAGCACTTAAACCATATTCACCTATATATTGTGTAGCTCATAGGCTAAATAATATTATCAAGACATGTTTTTATCAAACAGGCAAAATTAAACGAAAAACAGATGATGGTATTCCGAATGAAGCACTTGAATTAGTTTATTCATCAGATTCTGATGATGATACTGATAATTATGAAAATTATGCTATTGTAGCATCTTCATTCGGTTATGATTTAATTGATGTCGATTTAATGGATCTTACATCATCTGCAAAAAATATTCTTAAAACGATCTCATCTTGTAAAATTTTGGTAAAGTTTGTAAAAAAGGTGAGAATTGAACAACTTATTCAAATACAGTCGATAAAGCATATAGTGAAAAAAATAACGATCCAGACTAATTGAATAAAAAACGCTATATAGTTAGTTCTTGAAAAAATATCTATTATAAATTTTGTCGGAAGAAAAAATATCGGATACAGCAATATTCGGAGAGAGAATCATTTGTAGTTTTTTTAAATAGCAGCGGACTCGTTTCTCGAATACTTTCTGATCTTCAATGCTGTATTCTTGTGATCTGAAAAAGGAATAGTACTTTACTAATGTGCGCATTTTTTTTCATACACGATAATATAACTTTTATGTTTTTTATATAGAGTGGATTGAATAAAATAATTCAGGATCAAGGTGGTGTTGCTGTATTGCAAGCAACAACTGTTAGATGGTTATCAATGGTTCAACTTCTTGAATCGATTAATTGTTCGTACAAACAAATAAAAAAAATTTTGGTTGATAGAGAAAAGATTATTGTTCTTGATAAACTTATAATTTTACAACTTATTTTTTCTTTTACGGCCATTCAAACATATTATTTTGATTATACAGAAAGGCAAAGAGCCTACATTACATCTTGTTACAATAGCTATTTTAACACTACGTGATACTTTTAATACACATAAAGCTTTAATGGAATACAGTCAAAATTATCAAATAAATCCATCAACATCAGAGTTGGA